GGGCTTCCGCGTAGGTCAAGACACACAGCCTACTCATTTGATTCACGATCGGATTTTGTCAACTTTTTTTATGTAACACAATCGTAAAATACGCTTTAGTTCAACGGGTTTCTTTTTTGAGTAATATCGGTTATTTATTCCTTAATCCGGAGTGAATTTTTCCGATTTTAGTGTTCGAAAAAACGCCCCTCCCCCCCCTATCTAGGAAAGCTGGAAAGCGGTTTTTCCGGTCACTGTTTCTTAAGGATATATGTTTTACAGTTACACAATCAATGTGAAAACAGTTAAATCAGTATACAAAGGCTCTCAGCCGTTAAATTTCTTTACTTTGACTGTTTATTATTCAAAACTGCAGCTTAAAATGAGCTTTTAATTTTTTTCTACCCCTTTTGGCGCCCCCCTAGGGTCGGCGCCCGGGGCGGCCGCCCTCCCCGCCCTCCCCTAGCTACGCCTCTGACTATCGGCCGTGAACTTGTGGTCACAGACTAAGAAGGGGCAGATAATCGTCTTTTAGAGATCGCGAGCTATTTTAAGCAAAAATTTTTAGTCGTATGTTGTGTTGAGTTCATACAGAACGAATTACTAAAAAGTAGAAAATAAAACAAATATTAAAATCTTTATAAACATAAGCTTTTAAATGCCATGAAAAAAAAGACAATAAAACTACGTTGCTTTCTTTAATAAAATCATTGGTGGCTCTTGTACGTATTTTAGAGACCAATTTTTTTTGACAAGCTTTATTTAACACACTGTCTCAGAGTTTCTTCCAGGCATCTCTTCGGGGGGGGGGGGGCTAGGGCCCCCCCCCCCCGAAATTTTTTTACCGCCCCCCCCCCCCCTAACGTAATGAAATTTATATAATTTATATAGAAAATATATACTTTTAACAGTGTCCGCCCCCCCCCCCCCCGAAGAAAGTTTACCGCCCCCCCCCCCCGAGAATTTCAAGTCCCCCCCCCCAGAGAAAAAAGTCTGGAAGAAACACTGGTCTCAGTCGTCAGTCTGTCTGTCTAGATCGAACCGCCCTAGCGAAATTACGGGCACTTCTAGCTGACAGATTCGGTCCATAGTTGGTACGTGGGTCAAGACATGAAGACAATGCAGCATGACATTAAAGTTGACGTAATTGGTTGCCTAATTAATTTTTACTTTCTCGTATACGAAATATAGAGAAATTATTGTAATCTCAAAAAATTATTTCTAACTCAGGGAGGTGTAGAACGTCGAGATGTGAAAAAAAAAATCTCGATTTTTTTTTTTGCACGATTACACGACTTTCTCTATACTTCGTATATATGAGAAGGTAAAAATGGATTTAAAAAACTGTCTATTTCCCGTAGTGTTATATAAGAATATTCGAGAAAGTTTAGGGGAGATCATTACCGATTTATTTATGAATTAATTAAAATTTTGACCACATTAGTAGTCAGTCTTACCCAACTATTCCGCACTATTACACACGCGTCATCATGCTCATTAAGTGCGCAATGGTTTTTAGTCATGCAACTACAATATAAATTTTTAAAATTTTAAGTAGGCCTACTGATAAAAATAATATTCATAAAAAAAACGTTTTAAAATCAAGCTTTTTTTATAATAATGCACTAAGAAGTAGAAAATAAATTATACACTATTATTGAAATAAGTATAAAGAAAAGCGTGGGTATTTTCCTAAATATTAGTAAAGGTATCTAATAGATACTAAAGTGACCCACGTTTTTCTTTATAGTTATTTAAACAGTAGTGTATAATTTATGTTCAACTTTTTAGTGCATTATGATATAAAAGCTTGTTATTAAAACGTTTGTTATGAATTTTTTTGTATTTAGTGCATAAACAGATTAGTAAAGATGTGTTTTATCTCTAGACTGTTTTCACACATTTTATTGTTATTCATAATTTCATTATTCTTTACTTTACTATTCGCTACTTTATTATTCTCAACATGCAAGTTTTGTTTGTTATTTTCTCAACTAAATATTAACTTGTGATGGTGTGTATTCAAAATATTAGTCGTGAATTTAGTTTGATCAGGAAACGAGAAAGATGTTTTTTATTTTCTTCAGGAAGCGAGAAAGATAGTGGGCGCTGTGATCCAGAAGATCACCTACTGTGAATGGCTGCCTGTTATTCTGGGACCTGAGCTAATGGATAAATACAAGCTTGGCTGTGCTAGGAGGAGCAAGTACAACCCATATGTCGACCCAAGGATTTCAAACAGTTTCTCTGCAGGTTAGTGTTAGGGTTAACTGCAGCCAACAGTTTGCCTCGGCTCATAGAGCAACCTTATTGTTAGATCAACAAGAGTTAGGTCTTAACATTCGCTAAGTTTAAGTCAGGTAGATCTATAGCTAACCTTCCTTTAACACCACCGTATTGTTGGTCTCCCAATTATCTTATCTTCGCTATACATTCACTGGCAAGACATTCGTTATAACAATTGAAATAGGATTTTAAAAAATGTACCTCTAGCATCTAGATTTTCAACACAATCTTTACGTTTAAGTTCTGAACCCTTACTCTAATCCATATAACAAGCAGCATGTGTTCTCTCTAGCTGCCTTCCGATTTGGTCACACTTTGGTACCCGATGCTCTCAACATTGATGAGAAACCAGAATTCCTGAAGGACACATTCCTTATCCCAGATTCAAGTTTTAATAAATTCGAAAAAATCGTGAAAACTTTGTTGGTTGACGGGGATGAATACACATTCGATTGGTGAGTGTTTTCCTCTAGAAATGGAATTGATAGTCCATGCTAGTTTAGCATGATGTTACGGCTAGATTAGCGTGATGTTACTGCCTATTTAAAATTAATAATATTGTTTCTGTACATTACCAAAATTATTATAATATATTTTAGTTACTATACATTTGAAAAAAATAAAGTACGTTATTTTATCGACTGCGTTTAATTATAAAGCCCCCCCCCCCCCCCTCTTTTTTGTCTCTTTCACGTTTTACAACTTCCCCAAAGTTAAATTAAAGCCGCTTGGGAATCATGAATCATCTATTACACTCATTTTCATATTTTTGTTATGAATATAAGCCATTGAAATGCCGTTTAGAATTATTTAATCAATTCAGATATTTTTTAAAAACCGCCCTCAACCTCTCCTTAAATTCAACCGGAGAGGCCAGGGAGAATAAAACAATGCAAATCACATTTCTTTCCATGATAAAATACACAATGGTGGTCATTTGAGTAGTTTACTTATATTAAATAATAAAACATCCCCTATCACCACAACACCCTGACTCTACTAATCCAAATTAGAAATGAAAGCGTTATCTAAATTATATCATAGTAATTATTTCTTTAAATATTTCTAGCCTTAGTAAATCCGGGAGTCATTTTGTGCTTATTTCTCAAATGTTATAAAATATTTAATTTCGGTTGAAAAACAGTTCTGGCAACGACTTGGAACCATTTGAAACCAGCTTTTCGAGCCTAAAACTTATCTTACATTACAGGTTCTCTATTTTAAATGAACCGGGAGTGATCTCCCCTAAACTTTCTCGAATATTCTTATATAAAATAACAGGGGATGGAAACTCGGGCTATAGACATGATTTTTAATCCATTTTAAATACTTAAAGTTTTAAAAATAGAATAAAATCTCGTAGACAAATTAATTGCACACCAAGTGAACGCAAATAAAAAAAGCGCATAATAGTGCGCAATATTATTAGTACTTTTAAAATTTACATTAGTTTTTTGAGAAATCGGAAGTAGCGTAAATTACTACTTCCAGTCAACGGAAATTACTCAAAATTTAACAGAAGGTAGAGAATTAGATCTTTTACTTACATGTGAAATTTCATTTATCTATCTGAAATAGTACTCAAGTTATAGGCTTTTAAAAAATTCAAAGTAGGAAAAGTACCACTTCCGGTTATCGGAAATCGCTCAAAAGTTGATACGGATCTACGATTTTGATAAAATACTTATATATGAAATTTCATCAACCTAGCTGTAACGGTACTCAAGTTATCGTGTTTACACACGGACAGACACACACACAGACACACACACACACAGACATACGGACAAGATTGCAAAATTATGTTTTTCCGTATCAGTGAGGTGTAAAACGTCGAGATTTGTAAAAATCTCGATTTTTTTTTTTGCACGATTACAATACTTTCTCTATACTACGTATATACGAGAAAGTAAAAATTGCATAGGGGTCGTCCATAAATGACGTCACGCTCGTAGGGGTGGAGGGGTCCATAATTTTGTGATGTTGTGTGATGAGGGGAGGGTGGGTTTTAAATAGTGTGACGTTACACTTTTGCATTATAAAAGTAACGTTAGAAAACGAATTTCAGCCGTTATTTCGAGGTTTAGAAATTTGTTTTAAAAATGTAATATAAATTGATTAAAATACTTTATGTTGACTGAGTTCAAACAAGATTTAGGGAAAATATCTATGTTTTAAGAAAAATTCAACTGCAATTTTGATGGGGTTGTTTTAAGGGTGGGGGTCTGGCTTTTTGTGACGAAGTATGGCGGAGGGAAAGGGGGGGGGGAGGTTAAAATCGTTTTAAAACGCGTGGCGTCATTTATTAATGCCATCTAATGTGGGTTATTCACATACTTTTTATCTCATAATATAGGTATGCTCTTTGTAAACTTTATTCGGCATATCCCGCTGTTCTGTATAAAATTTCTATCCCGTAATATAGGTTTTTAAAAACTTTTTTGTGTGCATATCATAGGTGATTTATTAACTTTTTATCACACAATTTAAGTTCTTTATTAACATCGCATAATTTCAGTTCTTTTTACAAGCTTTTTATTTAACTTGCTTTCTCTGTCTGACTAGATCGAAACGCCAGAGCGACATTTCGGGCACTTCTTATTGACAGATTTGGTTCAAAGTTGGCACGTGGAGCAAGACATGAAGACAATGCAATCTGACATTAAATATGACTTAATTGGATGCCTAATTAATTTTTTACGAAATAACTAAATTTTGACCAAATAAGAGAGCTATCTTGTACAACTATTCCGCAGTATTATACGCTCGTTTTCATGTTCGCTAGGAGCGCAAAGGTTTTTAGTCATGCAACTCTATCTAAATTTTTAAAAATGCAAAGTAATGAAAAAAATAATTAAAAAACGTTTTCATAACAAACTTTTAGTGCATTATAACATAAAAGCTTGTTATTAAAACGTTTTTATGAATTTTATTTTCAGTATTTTAAATTTTTAAAAATTTACAATAGAGTTGCATGACTAAAACCGTTGCGCACCTAATGAACATGATAATGCGCGTATAATAGTGCGGAACAGTTGGGCAAGAAAGCCTACTAATTTGGACAAAAGTTTAGTTAATTCGTATAAAATTATTTTAGGCATCAAGTTGTCAAATTTAATGTCAGATTGCATTGTCTTCATGTCTTGACCCACGTGCCAACTTTGAACCGAATCTGTTAGTTAGAAGTATCCGAAATTTCGCTCGGGCGTTTCGATCTAGACAGACAGAGAAAGCAAGTTAAATAAAAAGCTTGTAATAAAAGCTTGTAAAAAAAACGTTTTAATAACAAGCTTTTAAGTAATAATGCAATAAAAAGTAGAAAATAAATTATTTCTTTAAATATGTAATACTACACTACCATTTAAATAACTATAAAGAAAAGCATAGGTCACTTTATAATCTATTGGATACCTTTACTAATATTAAGGAAGAGACACACGCTTTTCTTTATGGTTTTTTTTTAATTGTAGTTTATTATTAAATATTTAAAGAAAATAATTTAATTTCCACTTTTTATTGCATTATTACTTAAAAGTAGAAAACAAACGACACACAACTATTTAAATAACTATACAGAAAAGCGTGGGTATCTTCCTAAATATTAGTAAAGCTACCTGATAGATAATACAGTGACCCACGCTTTTCTTTATATCTATTTAAATAGTAGTGTGTCGTTTATTTTCTACTTTTAAGTGCATCATAACTTAAAAGCCTTTTATTAAAACGTTTTTTCAAGCTTTTATTTAACTCACAGTCTCTGTCGTCAGTCTGTCTAGATCGAAACGCCCAAACGAAAATTCGGGCACTTCTAACTGACAGATTTGGTTCATGGTTGTGACGTGGGACAAGACATGAAGACAATATAATCTGACATTAAATTTGACTTATTAATTTTTTATGAATTTTAATTAACATTTTGTCCAAATTAGTAGGTTGTCTCATCAAACTATTCCGCACTATTAGACACGCGTCATCACGTTCATTAGGTGCGCAATGGTTTTTAGTCATGCAACTCTATTGTAAATTTTAAAAATTTAAGGTACTAAAAAACTTGCATAAAATTTTTAGCGCAATTTCCATTCTGGAGAATTGCGTTTATTAACCCGTCATTTCTGGATGTATGAATGTATGAATGAATGGATGGATGGATGGATGGATGTGTGTCCGCAGCTTTAAGTCGTATCTCCTCCTCAACGAAGCAATATCGATGACTAGTTCCAAAAGCAATTATGTTAAGCAAGTTACGAAGATGAACATAGGCCATAAAAATTCCGGGTTTCTTTCATGGATTTCTCGGAAAAGCCAAAAAACCAAAAAAAAATGCAGTTTTTGGCCCATATCTCGGCAACCAGACCACTTAGCGACTTGAAACATACACCAATCGATTTCTGCCATAATTTAGAACAATATTGCCGAAGAAAGTTTTCAAAAATATCCTTTCGTTTGGTCACAAAATGTTTTTGAATTAATTAAAATTTGGACCGAATTACTAGGCATTTTTATCCAACCACACCACACGCGTCATCACGTTCAATAGCTGCGCCATCACGGTCAATGGCTGCGCCATCACGTTCGGTAGCTAGGCGCGCAATGGTTTTTAGTCATGTAACTCTATTGTAAATAAAACATGTAAAATACTGGAAAAAAAAATTAATAAAAAAACGTTTTAATAACTAACCAATGGTTTTACTAACCCTGCTCTTGATTTACGCTACGACAGAGCTATTTTTAGATAACATATTGAAATTGCGCTTAAATGTCACTAGACTTTTTAATTAACTTGTTTTCATAAAAAACGTTTTAATAACAAGCTTTTATGTAATGATGCACTAAAAAGTAGAAAATAAATTATACACTACTATTTAAATTACTATAAAGAAAAGCGTGGGTCACTTTAGTACTTTAGTACTTATTGGATACCTTTACTAATATTTGAGAAGAGACCCACGCTTTTCTTTTGTCATTAAATTTGACTTAATTGCATGCATAATTAATTTTTTATGAATAAATTAAAATTTTATCCAAATTAGTAGGCATTCTTATACAACTATTCTGCACTATTATACGCGCGTTATAATGTTCATTAGATGCGCAGTAGTTTTCAGTCAAGCAACTCTATTGTAAATTTTAAAAAAAACATTTCAAGTACTAATTTTTTTCTTCATAAAAACGTTTTAATAACAAGCTTTTATGTAATAATGCACTAAAAAGTAGAAATTAAATGATTTTCTTTAAATATAAAATAATAAACTAATATTTGAAAAACTATAAAGAAAAGCGTGGGTCTCTTTCTAAATCTTAGTAAAGGTATCCAATAAATAATAAAGTGACCGACTCTTTTCTTTATAGTTCTTAAGTAGTAGTGTATTATGATATATTTAAAGAAAATCGTTTTTTGTTTTTACTTTTTAGCGCGATATTACGTAAAGGCTTTTTATTAAAACAAGCTTGTTATTTTTTTTTAACTTTTCATCGCATACTGTAGGTTCTTTAGTGACTCAATCTCCAAACATTTGTTTGAGCCAAGGACCGGTGCTAAAGGTGCCCTTGATCTGCTCTCAGTGAACATCCAGCGAGGCAGAGATCATGGCGTTCCAGCATACTACTATTGGAGGCAGTTCTGTGGTCTTAGGTCAGTTAAATACAGCCAACATTTCTCCGCTCCTTATTATTTCTAATTTATTATTAACTTTCTAATCACAGTCACCTACGGCTCACATACATTGCGCATCTTCCCTGATAATGCGATTCAATTTTACCAACAATTAAAACAAAACAAAAATTTAATAACAAGTTTTTATATATTATATGCACGATGAAGAAGAAAATAAAACGATTTTATTTTAAAAATGCAATAAAGCACTTTATTTAAATAATAAACAAGGAAGGTGATGGTTGCTATATTATGTATATAATACCTTAAATAAAATTTAAGTTGCTGCCCACGCTTTTCTATCTAGTTATTTAATAGTAGTGCATCGTTTTATATGTAAATAAAATTATTTTCTTTTCTACTTTTTAGTGCATTATTAGGTTTGTTATTAAAACGTTTTAAATGATTTTCCCCTTCTCGAAAACAGAGTATATAAAAAGTATTGAATTTGTGCACAAATAGGAGTTGGCGTGGTCGAGCCTGTAAAGCTCATGATTGCTAAGCAGAAAAGTCCCGAGTTCGAACCATCGGACATATGAGGCTCGTTAGCTGGGGACAGCCACTCTCTAGGAGAGACAACTGTAAAATAAAACAACTGCTGCCTTGTAGTTTGTTCTTGGTTGGACAAAGGCTATGGAAGCAAATTCAAAAAGAATAGTAGGCTAAAATCGGAGTCAGTGGCCTAAATAACGCATAACCAGTTGACACATATACTTAATTGTGTTGGATGGGATCTCTTCCAATACTAAAATCAGAGTTTCTTCCAGGCATCTCTTCAACCCCCTCCCCCGAAGAAAGTCACCCCCCCCCCCGAACGAAATGGAATTTATATAGAAAATATATACTTTTACCATTGTCCGCCACCCCACAGGTTTCAATAAAGTTTTGAAAGATTCCCGGTAATCGAATATGATATTTTTTTCTATTTCCGTGGGAAACAAATAACTTGAGAACTGTTTCAGTTACGTAAATGACATTTCAAATATAAGTAAAAAATATTTTAGTTGGATCATTTTCAATTTTTTTGAGTGACTTCCGATATCCAGAAGTTATATTTTATAACTGGTTTCTAAAAATATAAAATACCGGATAACTTGAGTAGTGTTTCAGTTGACTAGACGAAATTTCATACACATATATGATTTTATTAGCTGTTTCCTACCTAATTTTGAGTGATTTTCGGAAGTTAGCTCGCTATTTCCGATTTCTGAAAAAAAATATAATCAAAGTTTCCTTTAGAAAGCACTAATTTGTCTGTGCGATTCTATTATGTTAAAAAAATAATTATTAAAAAAATAAAACATATCTATAACCATCTTCTTATTATTATATAGAATATGCGACAAAGTTTAAGGGAAATCACACCCTTTTTATTTTAACTTGCTTTCTGTTGCAAATATCGTGCTTTTGTCTGTCATCGGGCATGGGCCGGAACTGGCGAGCGAAATTCCGACCTCTTCTAACGGACCGATTTCTTTAAAACTTGGCTCGAGGATGAAGACCCGATGCCAATGCTGCGAGCGGATGGGTTTCCCCGCATTGGGTCAAATATTCCTTCGGCGCACTGAGCTGCGCTAGGGTGTCGGTAGCGCTTTGATATTCACGAAAATAAAAATAAAAATTGAGAGCCAACGCTCTCACGAACGTTGGCCCAGACATCTCTCCTCCCCGAACCCAAAGTGTCATTTAAACAGCCACCAAACAACACGTTTACCCGGGCGTCCGCGCCCAGGGAGAGACTCCCACGTGGTTCCAAATTATGCATAAAAAATTGAAACGCTGGCAATAGGCAAATAAAATTAATAGTAATAAGACTATTCCTGTTCAGGGTTTGTTTGTTCTCTAGTTCAAGCTATTCCGTTCTCCCATCCGCCCGTACATATATTAAAAAGAAATTATATTTAGGCTTATATTCACACAATTCATAATCAGACATATCTTTAGACAATTTTTAATCAGGCATACATTTATAAATTTTAAAATCAAGCACATATTTACAAATTGTTTAATCGGGCATGTATTGTTTCAGACGTTTTACAAGATTTGAAGACTTTGGTGAGATGGGTCAACAAATGAAGCAACTTTACAGGTAAAATGACCTTTAATTAGTACACGGGTCGACAAATACAGCAGATTTGCAGGTAAAATGACATTCAATTAGTATATGGCCAACAAATGAAGCAGCTTTACGGATACAGTGAAATTGACAGGCTTAGTGGGCCTTTTATGTTAGAATTGTTTACACTCTTTATAAAATACGGTTTGTTGTTAGATTTACAAGTCAAACACATTTTTACGACCGAAAAAATTAAGATCTACTCACTAATATCATTTAACGTACGGCAATACATTTTTCTTTTCGAGGTTTTTCTGTTTCTGTACCTTGACTTATGAAGGGATGGTGTAGTTAGAGACGTCCTACGGACTCGAGCAAGTAATCGGGACACAGTGCCCCCCCCCCCCCCCCCCCCCCCCCCGGAAAAAAAAGTCTGGAAGAAACACTGCACTTGACTTAAGCTGTCTTGCCCTCAGCTTTCCGACTACGCCACAAACAATTAGGCAATAAGGAGTCAATTTGCTGAAGAGCATTCATACGTAGTAAGCTTAGGGGAAACACGTTTAGAATTAGTCACTGATAGCTTAAAATAGTTTTCAATTTTTTTTTTATTGTAATATACAAAAAATGTAAATGAACTGCAAATTCTTATTACACTTTTCGAGTTGAACATTTTAGTTATTGAAATTGTTTATCTTTTTCTGTCGAACACACAAATTAAGTAGAAATAAAACGCTTTTGCTTGTGACGAAATTATGCAGAAATAGTGTCCAATACGATGAATCGTTTATACGCTATAAAACTAATTTGAATGGAAACAACCTTGTTGACCCAACTAACATGAACCAAAAAAGTTTATTTTCTAACTTTAGAAATTAGTATTTGTAAAACATATATTGTAAAATATGTAAATGGAAAACACTTCAAAGTAATTTTGTGATATACATCAACGTTATAATTATAATGTATCTTTGGTCTAATCGATTTTGAAATACGCGAGTAGATCGTTTGTTATACATGAATAATTAGATCTATATCCTACTAAAACTAGGGGAGATTGTATATAAATTATTATAAATGTAAGCCCTGACAGGGGACCACTAATCTACCTTCCTAGGCTTATGTAAATGATCTATCCAGTCAGTGCAAATCCGGCTCAACACAGACTGGTTTTAAACCATAACCTTAGTCGTATACTAAAATAAAACAAAATAAACCGGGAGTGATCTCCCCTAAACTTTCTCGAATATTCTTATATAAAATAACAAGGGATGGGAACTCGGGCTATAGACATGATTTTTAATCCATTTTAAATACTTAAAGTTTTAAAAATAGAATAAAATCTCGTAGACAAATTAATTGCACACCAAGTGAACGCCAAATAAAAAAGCGCATAATAGTGCGCAATATTATTAGTACTTTTAAAATTTACATTAGTTTTTTGAGAAATCGGAAGTAGCGTAAATTACTACTTCCGGTCAACGGAAATTACTCAAAATTTAACAGAAGGTAGAAAATTAGATCTTTTACTTACATGTGAAATTTCATTTATCTATCTGAAATAGTACTCAAGTTATAGGCTTTTGAAAAATTCAAAGTAGGAAAAGTACCACTTCCGGTTATCGGAAATCGCTCAAAAGTTGATACGGATCTACGATTTTGATAAAATACTTATATATGAAATTTCATCAACCTAGCTGTAACGGTACTCAAGTTATCGTGTTTACACACGGACAGACACACACACAGACACACACACACACAGACATACGGACAAGATTGCAAAATTATGTTTTTCCGTATCAGTGAGGTGTAAAACGTCGAGATTTGTAAAAATCTCGATTTTTTTTTTGCACGATTACAAGACTTTCTCTATACTTCGTATATACGAGAAAGTAAAAAAGCTAACAGTTAATAAAATTTATCAAGCCAAAAGAATGGAACAAAATGTCAAAAAAAGTTAATTCAACAAAATACTAAAGGTGCAATTAAAACACCCAATCGAACAACAAACCAGACTTCTTGAACATAAAACCACAATTTATAAATACTGATGAACAGGCGATGGCTCCCTATGCTTACGGATGGTCTAGGTTCTGAGCCTACTTAACAAAAAAGAAACATGAACAGTTAACGGCAAGAAACCAAACGGTACATTCGCATTTTAACATACAGATAATAATAATCAGACACACTCCAGCCACTTACATATATTTATACAGAAAACAATGTTCTTTTTTCCCAAAATGTACTTAAATTTATTTAAAGACATTAATTAATTTATTGATATATTCATTTGTAGAAACACACAGTATATTATTTAATAATGAAGGCACGGACAAATAAGACAAAAATAACTTTTTAAAAATACCAATAAATAAACCGTGTTTTAAAATAATTATATATGTTCAATATGAACTCACTCCTCTCCTTTACCGCATGGACGTCATAAATGGATGCGCAAATGGAACGGGCGGATGAATCAAAGAATATGGATTCATTTGGGGTTAAAAGAATATAAATATTATAAAGGGTGCAGTGGGTATAATACGATATTGGTTTGTGTTGTCCAGTGCAGCCGACAGATCATTTCCGAACTGGAAACTGGGTCGTCTAGTAGTTATTATATTCTTCGGGTATATTTTTAGGTGTCTTTTGATAAAAATATTTTTTTTAATCATCGCACCTTTTTGCTGAATTAATAATTTTTTTTTTCATACAGAGAAGAATACGTTATGTAATTAAGTCTTGCAATGTCATCTCTTCATGTAAATCCCCTTTTGTAATAACATCTATTTATATCAATGTGACCAACTCGCTAGACACATCATGGACGTTGATCTCTTTGTTGGTGGAGTCATGGAACCCCGCGTCTATGGCGGCGTCATTGGTGAAACTATGGGCTGTATCGTCGCCAGGCAATTTTCAGAACTCAAGTTTGGAGACGCTCATTTTTTCTTGAGCAAAGAATATCCTCAAGGATTCACAGACTGTAAGTAAAACAACATGCACCTGTATTTTAATGCCATTTTAGTACCCATATAATGGAATATCAGACAGGGTGGAGTTTTCCGCCAAATTTTCTTTTAAAATCTTATATTTGAAAAGTTAGTGCAAATATTTGAATCTTTTTTTTTAATTCCTAAATTAATTCTGGAAAGAGTAACAATTAACGCTAATATATATATATATATATATATATATATATATATATATATATATATATATATATATATATATATATATATATATATATATATATGCCCGGGTTTAGGAGATAAATTACTTTTGCAATTAAATGCCTATATGCAAATGTGGACGTTTGATAAAATAACACATAACCCTAAACCTAATTCTAACTCTAAACTTAACTTTAACCACAACCAACCACAACGCAAACAAAATCACAAACGCAAACGTAACGCAAACTCAAACGCACACACATATGCAAACATAAATGCAAACACAAACTCAAACTAAAAAACACAAAAGCAAATGAAAACGCAAACACAAACGTGAAATGAATTATAAAAAGTAACAGTTGTTTTATGGCATTCAAAATTTTAAATTGATGCTCCAAGGAAGGTTATAAGCACTCTGGCATCTCTTGCCTATGCTACCGATAATATTAATATGGCCTCCATGAGATGTACGGCTGCCATGCTTGTTAATGTGAGAATTACCATCTCCAGCTCAAGTCGAGGCCATCAAAAAAGTGGAATTAAATTCACTGCTCTGTTTAATCGGTAATGCCGGAGAGGTGCAAGCCAATCCATATTACTTGAAGTCTGAAACGTAAGTTTTTCTCCGAATATCTTAAACTTGTTATTTAAGCTATGCGTTAGATACATTTGCTAACTTTAACGGTTATGTTTAGATGAATATGGTTATTTAAATGTTGTAGTGATAACTTATAAATGTAACATGGAGAAATATTAAGTTATTTCATGCATTTCGTGTAAAAGCTTTTTTTTTTAATTTAAAAACATATGGTTAAAAATGTTTTCAATATTATATTTAAATGAAATATTCCATTTTAATCTTTTCACAGTAATCCAATGACACCTTGCTCGTATTACCAAGACATAGATTTGACCCCTTGGACTAATGCATACTAAGTTATTCACTTGTTATGTATTTTAATAACTGAAATGGCGAAATTTTAAAACATTTTATGGAGAAACGCGACATCAAGTTTTTGAAGGTCCATGAAAAACGTCATCCATTTTTACACTTAAGACAAAGCAGAGCAGCACAAATTAACTAGGTTCAAATAGCAAAATGTAATTATCTTTTTTTTTATTCAGTTGATGAAATTTTTCTGCTCAGTTTTTTCCTAAGCAAACGCTATGGAAATATGTATCAAGAGACATTGTTATTTTATTTAGCAGGAACGCCATTGACGTGTAACTGGTTGTGGCGAGTTAAATAGTTTTTTCTTATTGGTTTAGGTCCATCGAAAATTAAACGGTTTTCACATTTATCTTTTTATGTCTCAACTTTAAAAATATATATATTCTTTATTGCTGATTAATTTTCTTTTAATAAAGTTGAAACGCTTGTATTGTCTATTTCCTTCCATTTATTCAGTTTAAATTAAAAAAAATTTTGGGAGGGGGGGGGGGGGTTAATTTACACACATAGCTGTGGCAAGTGCAATAACATTCTTGCTCTAAACCAGTGCTTCACAAACTAGTTTGGCCTATTGCTCCTTTGATGGGGCGTAGCAAAGGGGGGGGGCGGGTACATATGACCCCGGGCGCCGTCCCTAGGGGCGCTAAAATGGTTTGAAAAAAAAATAAAAGCTCATTTCAGATGCAGTTTTGAATTATAAACATAAAAAAAATATGGGGGGGGGGAGGAGAGCGGCAAATTGAAAGTTTGTTCCCGGGCGCCGAGAGGGGTCGCTACGCCTCTGCCCCTTTAAACGAAAAATATATCTCCCCCATTGCCCCCCTTCCACCCAAACAACAAAGAGAGAGGGACATGTAGCGATAATTTGTATCTTCTTGGCATTCTGCCTGCCTTTGCTTAGGTTTTTGGGGAAAAAAATGTTACCCTAAACATAACTCCTTTATTGATACTAGCCAATTCTAAACGTAACACGAACCGGTTTAAGTTAAATGTTATATTTTATTAATTAAACCGATTCAATACTTGTCGGTGCGAAGGCATAAATTACGTGGAGGGGGGGGGGGGGCAGGGGCTTATTTATTTAAGCTTAAACGAAAATATTATAGTGGCCCTATATATATATATATATATATATATATATATATATATATATATATATATATATATATATATATATATATATATACATTGTAATAATAAGTTCTGGTTTGCGGAGTTTCATTTCAATATTTCGAGGTGCAACTGGAAAGGTTGGACTACTCCTCATTGGGTGACATGGCTGTACAGACGGCAAGAAAGATAGCAAGTATTTAGATAATCAACAGAGCTAAAAAAAAAAAACATTTTAAATGGCTACATCAAAATGTTAAAGTGAAAATGGTTTTACATCCAAATAAAATAATGCTGGTGAAGAGTTGCATGTATACTATGATGGAAAATAAGGTGTCACCTCATAGTAATTTAGCACGAGAGTCAGAAAACTCTCAGCTTTTGAATAATGAGGCTATCTTATCAGATTGTAAATAAACTAGTCCGAATCTTCCAGGAAACAAAGAAGGAACTATATAGCATACGCTACTAAAAACGACTTTGCAAGAGGCCCTTTTAATTACTATTTTAAACAAGCTCTAACTCTAACCTTAGGGTTTGTAAAGAAAATAAACTTCTGGTAGGAACTTTAAAACTTTCATTGAGATGTTTTTTAAATCGACGAATTGTTTGACTAATGTTAAAAAGAGAAAATCCGGTCCCTAAAATTCGGGGACATCCAATTCAGCCATCCCCCCCCCCCCCCCCATTTGTTTCACCATTGGCTATCTTCGAGGTAAGGTCTCACGACTTCAAATTCTATACTATTGAGATAAACCCCCACCATTTCATTGTTGCTAACTAGAGTTTCTTCCAGGCATCCCCCCTTCCCAGAAAAGAAATGAAATTTACATAATTTATATAGAAAATATATACTTTTAACAGTGTCCGCCCCCCACCCACCCGAAGAAAGTCTGCTGCCCCCCCCCCCCCGAAAATTTCAAGTGCCCCCCCTCCCCACCGCAGAAATAAGTCTGCCAATGTTATGAAACAATTAATTCATGCCTTAAATAAGTTTGATCTTTAAATTTTGTATATTTTGCAATGAAATATGTAAAATTACGGACGTCCACATGAGGAATTTATTAACAACATAATACTTATATTTCTTTTTAAAAGTCGGCAGCTTTCGTGTTCAATATCCCCAGCACAACGGGTAAGTCAGAAATGTAACGTAACTGTACATCGCCCGCCTAAGAAAATAAAACGGGAGTGATCTCCCCTAAACTTTCTTGAATATTCTAATACGAGAAAAATGGCCCGTTGAGGAAGGATACACCGGGCGCTAGGTTGATAGTGCTGTCTCTTTTCTCTAAACTAAAACCAACCCACCCCCCCCCCCCACACACACACCACCCCCCCACACACCACCCCCCCCAACCCCACCCCACCCCCACAAAAACATGTCTACCGTCCCATTCAACGAAATATAATTATATACTTTTTCCAGTGTCCGCCCCCTCCCCGAAAATTCTACCCCCGCCCCCGAAAATTTCAAGTACCCCCACCCCTCTCCGGGGAGGAAAAAGTCTGAAAGAAACACTGGTGTCGCGCTTAGCCACTACGCGAAGAATTGCGTTAAAGAAATTGCGAGAAAACCACTTTTTAGATTAGACACATTAATTAGGCGGTAATTTTATTATAGAGTATCGATGAGGAAACCACCCCACCCCACCCACCTCCCCCACACACACCACCCCCCCCCCCCATCCCCTACCCCCCACTCCCAAAAAAAATCACGTCTACCGTCCCATTCAACGAAATATAATTATATACTTTTTCCAGTGTCCGCCCCCCCTTCCCGAAAATTCTACCCCCGCCCCCGAAAATTTCAATTACCCCCACCCCTCTCCGGGGAGGAAAAAGTCTGAAAGAAACACTGGTGTCGCGCTTAGCCACTACCCGAAGAATTGCATTAAAGAAATTGCAAGAAAACCACTTTTTAGATTAGACACATTAATTAGGCGGTAATTTTATTATAGAGTATCGATGAAGAAATTTCTTTTGAGTTGGGGAGGGGGGGGGGGGCTCAGACGTTCTTACGCGTGGGGTGGGGCTTCGCCCCTACCCGAAGAATTGTATGCAAGAAACTCTTCACGCAAACCATTTAGATTAGACAACATTTCCTTTTTATTCAATGTTTACGCGATAATCAATGACGTCATTATATTACTGTGTTGCACTTTCCGCCTTGAGATTATTTTCAACTCTATGCTAAATGTGTCGACGTCATACTTCGTTTTTCGAAATACTGTGCATGTTTTTAATTTCCTTGTGTTTTCTCTAGAGCGTTCTTGTCAGATAGAATTTTTGCTTATGTTTTCTCTAGAGCGTTCTTGTCAGACAGAGCGTTCTTGTCAGATAGATAGATACATACACAGACAGCGAAACTATTATTATAGACGAGAAAAATGGCCCGTTGAGGAAGGGTACAACGGGCGCTAGGTTGATAGTGCTGTCTCTTTTCTCTAAACTAAAACCAACCACCCCCCCCCCACACACCACCCCCCCCAACCCCACCCCACCCCCCACAAAAACATGTCTACCGTCCCATTCAACGAAATATAATTATATACTTTTTCCAGTGTCCGCCCCCTCCCCGAAAATTCTACCCCCGCCCCCGAAAATTTCAAGTACCCCCCACCCCTCTCCGGGGAGGAAAAAGTCTGAAAGAAACACTGGTGTCGCGCTTAGCCACTACGCGAAGAATTGCGTTAAAGAAATTGCGAGAAAACCACTTTTTAGATTAGACACATTAATTAGGCGGTAATTTTATTATAGAGTATCGATGAGGAAAACCACCCCACCCCACCCACCTCCCCACACACACCACCCCCCCCACCCCCTACCCCCCCACTCCCAAAAAAATCATGTCTACCGTCCCATTCAACGAAATATAATTATATACTTTTTCCAGTGTCCGCCCCCCTTCCCGAAAATTCTACCCCCGCCCCCGAAAATTTCAATTACCCCCACCCCTCTCCGGGGAGGAAAAAGTCTGAAAGAAACACTGGTGTCGCGCTTAGCCACTACCCGAAGAATTGCATTAAAGAAATTGCAAGAAAACCACTTTTTAGATTAGACACATTAATTAGGCGGTAATTTTATTATAGAGTATCGATGAAGAAATTTCTTTTGAGTTGGGGAGGGGGGGGGGGGGGCTCAGACGTTCTTACGCGTGGGGGTGGGGCTTCGCCCCTACCCGAAGAATTGTATGCAAGAAACTCTTCACGCAAACCATTTAGATTAGACAACATTTCCTTTTTATTCAATGTTTACGCGATAATCAATGACGTCATTATATTACTGTGTTGCACTTTCCGCCTTGAGATTATTTTCAACTCTATGCTAAATGTGTCGACGTCATACTTCGTTTTTCGAAATACTGTGCATGTTTTTAATTTCCTTGTGTTTTCTCTAGAGCGTTCTTGTCAGATAGAATTTTTGCTTATGTTTTCTCTAGAGCGTTCTTGTCAGACAGAGCGTTCTTGTCAGATAGATAGATACATACACAGACAGCGAAACTATTATTATAGACGAGAAAAAATGGCCCGTTGAGGAAGGGTACAACGGGCGCTAGGCTGATAGTGATGTCTCTTTTCTCTAAACTAAAACCAACCCACCCCCCCACACACCATCCCACCCACCCCACCTCCCACCCCCACACACCACCCCCACCACACACCACCCCCCACCCCAACCCCTCACACCACCCCCCACCCCCCCCCCCACACACCCCCCCACCCCCCCCCCACACACACCACCCCCCCCCACCCCCCCCCCCCCACCACACACCCACCCCCCCCCACCCCTCCACCACCCCCCCACCCCCAAAAAAAAACATGTCTACCGTCCCATTCAACGAAATATAATTATATACTTTTTCCAGTGTCCGCCCCCTCCCCAGAAAAATTCTACCCCCGCCCCCCGAAAATTTCAAGTACCCCCCACCCCTCTCCGGGGAGGAAAAAGTCTGAAAGAAACACTGAAACCAACCCACCCCCCCCCACACACCACCCCCTCACCCCCCCCCCCCCCACCCCCCCCCCCCCCCAAAAAAACATGTCTACCGTCCCATTGCAAGAAAACCACTTTTTAGATTAGACACATTAATTAGGCGGTAATTTTATTATAGAGTATCGATGAGGAAATTTCTTTTGAGTTGGGGAGGGGGGGGGGCTCAGACGTTCTTACGCGGGGGGTGGGGCTTCGCCCCTACCCGAAGAATTGTATGCAAGAAACTCTTCACGCAAACCATTTAGATTAGACAAAATTTCCTTTTTATTCAATGTTTACGCGATAATCAATGACGTCATTATATTACTGTGTGCACTTTCCGCC